GGAGGGGACCTCCTAGGCCCTCTGCCCTGTGTACCCTTGAAGCTGTCCCACAATCATGGAGCCCCTGACCTCCCCACCCTGCTGCCACATGCAGTGGAGGAGAGACCTGCAGCCCGAAGAGCCTGGCGGCGCCTCCTAGAGCAGCACGTGGGTGGCGCAGCCTTGGTAACCCAGTGGACTGCAGCGACAATCAATCATTGGATGGTGCTGTTTATGCACAGGTGTGAGTCCTCTGTTTGCACTGGACATATTCCCTGCCTGTCTGTCTTATTTCATAGGTACATGAAGTATTTTCTTGTGTATAAAAAAAAGATAGAAGATTTAACCAACGTCAACAAAATAAAAACCCAAAAGTGTCATGTTGGAATTTGCGAGGTTTCATGTCAAATCTTAAGTGCACCTTCAGCCAATGGGCAGTTCCTGGATTTGCCCCTAGAAAAGGAAGCCCAATGTTGCCTGCACTCGCAGGCTGGGGCTTAACAGGCATGAAATTCCCACCATCTCCTCACCACAGCACAGGTACACAAAAACACATTTTCCCGACTGCTCTCAGCCTGCTGCAAAGCTGTCTCCCTCAGGGCTGCTGTGGGGCCGTCCGGATCTCCGCAGCATCCTCCCACTGCCCTAGTCTTTCCCTCTTCCTTATTTTGCACAATCTGTGTGACTAGACCCAGCTAGTGTTTCCTCCCACTCACCTAGGCCCTGCATCTGAAGCAGATAGATCTGAAACAAATGAGAAACTCCAAAAGATTGCCTACACAGCAGGTAAGAAGAGAAAATCAGTAACCAGGAAGAACAGTGAAATGACCGAAAATGGAGCGGGAAGGAAAGGAAAGCCATGCGGAGTGGCTCGTAATCCCTGCATTTCGGCAAAGCAGGAGGATTGCTTGAGTCCAGGAGTTCAAGGCCAGCCTAAGCAGCAATGACAAGACCCTGTCTCTACAAAAAATGTTAAAATTAGCCACGTGAGCCGGGCGCGGTGGCTCAAGCCTGTAATCCCAGCACTTTGGGAGGCCGAGGCGGGTGGATCACGAGGTCGGGAGATCAAGACCATCCTGGTCAACATGGTAAAACCCCGTCTCTACTAAAAATACAAAAAATTAGCTGGGCATGGTGGCGCGTGCCTGTAATCCCAGCTACTCAGGAGGCTGAGGCAGGAGAATCACCTGAACCCAGGAGGCGGAGGTTGTGGTGAGCCGAGGTCGCGCCATTGCACTCCAGCCTGGGTAACAAGAGTGAAACTCCGTCTCAAAAAAAAAAAAAAAAAAATTAGCCACGTGGTAGTGTATGCCTCTAGTCCCAGCTACTCAGGAGGATAAGATGGGAGGACCACTTGAGCCCAAGAACAAGGCTGCAATGAGCTGTGATTGTACCACTGTACTGAACCTGGGCAACAGGCTCAAATTTTTTTTTTTTTTTTTTTTTTTTTTTTGAGACGGAGTTTCGCTCTTGTTACCCAGGCTGGAGTGCAATGGCGCGATCTCAGCTCACCGCAACCTCCGCCTCCTGGGTTCAGGCGATTCTCCTGCCTCAGCCTCCTGAGTAGCTGGGATTACAGGCACGCGCCACCATGCCCAGCTAATTTTTTGTATTTTTAGTAGAGACGGGGTTTCACCATGTTGACCAGGATGGTCTCCATCTCTCGACCTCGTGATCCACCCGCCTCGGCCTCCCAAAGTGCTGGGATTACAGGCTTGAGCCACTGCGCCCGGCCCCAGGCTCAAATTTTTTTAAAAAGTTGAACGAGAAGCTTCAAAAGCTTCAATTAGCTTTTTTCTTTTCTTTTAAGATGGCTTCTCTCTGTTGCCCAGGCTGGAGTGCAGTGGTGCGATCTTGGCTCACCAACCTGTCTCCTGAGTTGAAGCGATTCTCCTGCCTTAGCCTTCCAAGGAGCTGGGATTACAGTCACATGCCACCACACCCAACTAATTTTTGTACTTTTGGTAGACCAGAGGTTTCTCCATGTTCGTGAGGCTGGTCTCAAGCTTCAGGAGGCTGAGGCAGGAGAATCACTTGATCCACCCACTTTGCCTTGACCTCCCGAAGTGCCAGTATTACAGGCATGAGCCACGGCACCCAGCCCCAATCAACTTCTAACGGGATTTCCAGAGTTGCAAAACACAAATATTTAGCTTTAGGAAGCACACCTGAGTACTGAGCAGTACAAATAAAAATATAGGCTGGGCACAGTGGCTCACCTGTATAATCCCAGCACTTTGGGAAGCTGAAGCAGGTGGATTGCTTAAGTCCAGCAGTTTGAGACCAGCCTGAGCAACATGGTGAGAACCCATCTCTACAAAAAAATTAAAAAGTTACAAGTCTGTAATCCCAGCTACTTGGGAAGCTGAGGTGGGAGGATCTCTTGAGCCAGGGAGGTGGAGGATGCAGTGAGCCCAAGATTATGCCATTGCACTCCAGCCTCGGTGGCAGAATGAGGCTGTCAATAAAAAATATGAGTCAATATATAAGTTAAAACAAGTTTTAGGCCAGGCGCCGTGGCTCACGCCTGTAATCCAAGCACTTTGGAGGCCAAGGGGGGCAGATCACCTGAGGTCAGCAGTTCAAGACCAGCCTGACCGACATGGTGAAACCTCGTCTATATTTTTTAAAAAAGAGTTTTGAGCAGCAGGGAGGAAGGAAGGAAAAAAAACTTTTTTTTTCTTTTTTTTTTTTTTTTTTTGACACGGAGTTTTCGCTCTTGTTACCCAGGCTGGAGTGCAATGGCGCGATCTCGGCTCACCGCAACCTCCGCCTCCTGGGTTCAGGCAATTCTCCTGCCTCAGCCTCCTGAGTAGCTGGGATTACAGGGATGTGCCACCATGCCCAGCTAATTTTTTTTTTTGTATTTTTAGTAGAGACGGGGTTTCACCATGTTGACCGGGATGGTCTCGATCTCTTGACCTCGTGATCCACCCACCTCGGCCTCCCAAAGTGCTGGGATTACAGGCTTGAGCCACCGCGCCCGGCCATATGTATAATTGCCTGAACCCAGGAGGCGGAGGTTGCGGTGAGCCGAGATCGCGCCATTGCACTCCAGCCTGGGTAACAAGAGCAAAACTCCGTCTCAAAAAAAAAAAAAAAAAAATACTAATCCAAAAGAAGGCAGAAGAGAAACATAATAGACTCACCACCTCAATTTAGAAGTCAGGGATTGTAAACATCAGTTGAAGAAGTGAGACCCAATTATGTGCCGATTATAACCAAAGCACTTTACAAATGAAGACATAGACCTAGGATAAAAATAAACAGATGGAAAAAGACGCTTCCATAATCATCATGTGTATGGGTATTTATGAAGGAGCATTTCACAATAAGCAGTTGACTGTCATCAGCAAGAAAGTAAACACAGGAGACCTGAACAAGCCTGTTACCCACCTGCACCTGCTGGGTATTTATAAAACGCTGTCAACAGCAGCAATACACTTTCTTCTCAATGTTCATTACAAGCTCTGTGCTGGGCCACAAAAAAGTGTCTATCTCAGTAATTGAGACAGAATTAAAATCATGCAGAGGGTGTTCTCTGGCCACAGTGGAAATTATAAATAACAGTAAGATACCTGAAAAAATGTCAAAAACAGTGGAACTAAAATATTAGACAAAAATAGCACATGTGGACCAGGTGTGGTGGCTCAGCTGTAATCCCAGCACTTTGGGAGGCCAAAGCAGGAGGAGGATCACTTGAGTCTAAGAGTTTCACACCGGGCTTGGCAATATAGTGAGATCCCATCTCTTATTTAAAAAAAAAAAAAAAAAAAAAGGCCAGGCACCATGACTCACACCTGTAATCCTAGCACTTTGGGAAGCTGAGGCTGGTGGATCACCTGAGGCCAGGAGCTTGAGACCAGCCTGACCAACATGGAGAAACTCTGTCTCTATTAAAAATACAAAATTAGCCAGGTGTGGTGGTGCAGGCCTATAATCCCAGCTACTCAGGAGGCTGAGGCAGGAGGATAACTTGAATCCAGGAGGTGGAGGTGGTGGTGAGCTGAGATCACATCATTGCACTCTGGCCTGGACAACAAGAGTGAAACTTCATAAAAAAAAAAAAAAAAAAAAAAAAAAAACCCACAAGGCTGGGCATGGCTGCTCACCTCTGTAATCCCAGCACTTTGGGATGCCGAGGCAGGCGGATCACTTGAGGTCAGGAGTTTGAGACCAGCCTGGCCAACGTGGTGAAACCCCATCTCTACCAAAAATATAAAAAATGAGCCAAGTGTGATGGCGAGTGGCTGTAATCCCAGCTATTCAGGAGGCTGAAGCAGGAGAATCGCTTGAACCTAGGAAGCAGAGGTTGCAGTGAGCCAAGATCGTGCCATTGCATTCCAGCCTGGACAACAGAGCTAGACTCCATCTCAAAAAAAAGAAAAAAGCACAGGTGATCAGAGGGAAAGACCAGCATTAAAATGCTTTAAGGTAGCCGGGCGCGGTGGCTCAAGCCTGTAATCCCAGCACTTTGGGAGGCTGAGGCGGGTGGATCACAAGGTCAAGAGATCGAGACCATCCTGGTCAACATGGTGAAACCCCGTCTCTACTAAAAATACAAAAAAATTAGCTGGGCATGGCGGCACGTGCCTGTAATCCCAGCTACTCAGGAGGCTGAGGCAGGAGAATTGCCTGAACCCAGGAGGCAGAGGTTGTGGTGAGCCGAGATCGCGCCATTGCACTCCAGCCTGGGTAACAAGAGCGAAACTCCGTCTCAAAAAAAAAAAAAAAAAAAAAAAAAAAAAAAATGCTTTAGGGTAGCCAGGCGTGGTGGCTCACGCCTGTAATCCCAGCACTTTGGGAGTCTGAGGCAGGTGGATCACAAGGTCAGGGGTTTGAGACCAGCCTGACCAACATGGTGAAACCCGGTCTCTACTTAAAAATACAAAAATTAGGCTGGCATGGTGGTGCACACCTGTAATCCTAGCTACTTGGGAGGCTGAGGCAGGAGAATTGTTGAAGCTGGGAGGCAGAGGTTGCCGTGAGCCGAGAGCACGTCATTGCACTCCAGCCTGGGCGACAGATCGAGACTCTGTCTCAAAAATAAATAAATAAAATGCTTTAAGGTGGTGTTTTGGGGAAGATGACAGTGATCAGCTGAGTTCATGGAGTAAGAATACCAGAATACAGAGTGGCTTCCCAAATAAACAGAAGGAAAGGAGATCACTAAAAACTCAGGATCAGCGTGTTATAAAATGGTAGAAATAATTTCAAATCACAATACTTGAAAAAGGCAGCTTGTCAAATTGGCAAAGTTTGGCCTGCACCACCACACCTGGCTAATTTTGTATTTTTAATAGAGACAGGGTTTCTCCATGTTGGTCAAATGCCATGTGCAAGTTTCTGGCAATATGGCAAATTAATGTATCTTGAAAAACTAAAAAATGCTGTTTACAGTACTGGGGAGGAGGAAACTTAAATCCATGAGCTGTAAGAAAGGAATCTTTGGAGGCTAAAAAAAGACCGTCAAGATCCTGCATGACATGGAAGAAGACAAATCCACGAGCCTCATCCCTTTGAGGAGTTTATCAGGCCACCTTGGTCTACACTCTCAGGAGAGGGGTGTACTAGAAATAAAGCCAGGTGCCCCAGAGTCCACCCGGAGACAGACGCGGGCGGCTGGGGCGCTGCGCTTAGGTGGGCAGCAGTCCGTTCGCGCGCAGCTCCAGCAGCGGGGACAGCGTGTAGCGCAGGCGGCGTAGTGTGGTCTCCGAAGTGAGGCTTCGGAGCCACGCGGAGACGGCGCCGGCGTCCAACAGCACCTTGCAGAGCAGCGACAGCCCCAGGAAGAAAAGCGGCAGCGTCAGGAGCACCTGCAGCGCGCCCAGTACACACCGCCTGCCGGACAGCAGATGGGTAGGTGGGCGGCGGCTCGGGCAGGGACAGGGGAGACCCCGGCCGCGCCCACCGCCGGGCTCACCTGATGGCCTGCGCGCGCGGGCCGCCGAACAGCCGCATCTCCTGCGGGGAGGCGGGGTGGGGGGGCAGGTTTCCAGAGGGCGGGGAAGGCGGTCCCAAAGAGGGAGAGGGTTGTCCTGCTCCAGCCCGCCCCGCCCGGACCAGCGCAGGCGCTCACTCGGTCCGCCCGGGCCACCTCCTCCATGAGCGACTTGGTGCTATACTGCACTCCGCAAAGCTGCCCGCCACACCTGCGGGGACGCATGCAGGTGGGAGCGCGGCCCGTCCCACATCACCCCGCCGCGCCCGCAGGCCCAACTCCCTTACGGTTCCTGGCCACTCTGCCAGGCGTCCAGCTCCTCCGCCGCCTCCATCACTTTCACCTGCACCTCCTGGAGCGGGTGAGAGTGCGGACTGAGGCCTGGGGGAGGCGTCCTGGCGGCGGGTTGAGAGACCTGCCGCCACAGGTCTTGGGGAGAAGAGGCGGAAGGCACCGTGGCGTCCGACCTGAAGGACTATGGTCTGCTCCTGGAATATGGCCCAGGCCTCCGCTCTCTGCAGCGCGCCCTGCGTGTGGACACCCGGATTAGACTCGGGGTGACACGCCCCTCCCACCCACACTCGAAAGCCGACCCTCCTCCGACAGAACCCGCTTCTGGCCGCACCTGCTGCAGCTTCTCCTCCTGCAAGGCGTACTTGGTCTCCGCCAGCCCCAGTTGATTCTTGAGAAAGACGAATGTCAGGAACCCCGGAGCCTGACACCCCGCTGCACCTCCGGGCCCCACCCCGAGGCGATCATGACCCCACCCACGTCCTCAGGCCTGAAGCAACGCCCCAGATTGCCATGGCCCCGCCCTTGTGCTCCGCCCACATCTCCGCCCCGCTTCAGGGCCTGCCATAAGGCGCACCCCGAGGTGGTCGCTGCCGGACTCATGCTGCTCCGCCCCTACTCAAGACCTCAGGACCCCGCCCAAGCACCTGCAGAGTCACCAATTGGGCTGCGATTTGCTGCTCCGTGTGCTTCTGGCTCTGCTGTTCCCCTCCGTAGTAGAAGAGCTAGGGGCGGGGCTTGTAAACAGGGTTTACCGGCCTTCTGGAGGAGCGGGTGTCGTGGGGGACAGGGACAGGGAGGCAACAAGGGCAGGGACCAGGGCAGGACTTCCAAGAGGAACCCAGAGACAAGCCATCCCATCTCCTGCACGTACCTGACTCGACAGCTCCTCCCACTGCTCCTGCAGCTGCCGATTGCGCTGCTCCTGCGGACAGGATCCTGGGGTGGTGCTGGCCTCTCCGCCGGTCCCAACCCACCCCACCCCACCCCACCCCCATCACCCCCGTCCCGCTGGCCCTGCCGCATCCCACCATGGTTCCGGCCCCATTCCTGGGTTCTTCCTTACCAAGTCCTCCTTGTGGCGCTGCGCCTCCTTCAGCCTTCTGCGCACCCGCTCCGCGCGCTCCCGCGCAGCCTCTCGCGCCTCCCCTGGCAGAGCCTGCGCTGTCTGGATTCGCCTGCGCAGCAGGCTGCAGAGGGAAACTGAAATTGGCGCTACAAGTCGGACTGGGTCGCTCAGGATCCCGCAGTCGCCGGGAAGGACCAGATGCAGCTCACGATCGGGGACCAGAAAGCCCTAGCAAAATCCTCCACCTGGATCCGCTGGGTGGATCGCCCGTTCCCAGGGCCCTAGAGCGGAGATGCGGGCCTGGGCAGATCAGCCTAGTACCCTGCGAAGCCCTTCGCAGCGCTGCCTGCGGGACCGACCCTAGGACACCCGCCCGCCCGCTAGAGCGGCGCTCCCCGCGCACCTGCGCTCGCACTCGCTTAGGTCCTGCAGGCGCTGGTTGAGGCTCTCGCTCTCGGCCTCGAGCCCGCGCATCAGCTTCTCTAGCTCCTGCTTCCGCAGGCGACCATCTCGGTTATCCTTCTGCAGCTGCAGCAGCAGCTCCTGAGTCTCGGCCATGCCTGTGGAGACCGTGCCTAAATGCCAGCCGCCTGGGGGACCCAGCCTACTGGCAGGCGTCACAACGGGCGGCGGGGGGCGCCAAGAGGGCTACGTCACAATGGGCGGCAGAGGGAGCCCGAGCGCAGCCCTATACCTGCCCCTGCTCACACTGGCCGGATCACACTTAGTTGAAAATGTGTCAAAGAGCCACAACTGGATCAATGAAAGGGTAATAAAATACTAATACTGGGGCTGGACGCAGTGGCTCACGTCTGTAATCCCAGCACTTTGGGAGGCCGAGGCAGGCGGATCAGGAGGTCAAAAGATCAAGACTATCCTAGCCAACATGGTGAAACCCCATCTCTACTAAAAACCCAAAAAGTAGTTGGGCGTGGTGGCGCGCGCCTGTAGTCCCAGCTACTCAGGAGGCTGAGGCAGGAGCATCGCTTGAACCCGGGAGGCAGAGATAGCAGTGAATTGAGATGGTGCCACTGTACCATCTCAGCAAGACTCTGTCTCAAAAAAAAAAAAAAATACTAATACCGAATGCAGGCAAGTTTGGTTCCCCCACATTGCGGATGGCACTTGCAAACTGATCGATCTCTTGTGGAAAAGATTATAAATAGACACTAGAATACATAAATATGTTCATATCTTTTGACCCAATTATCCCTCTCCTGGGAACTTATCCCAAGAAGGAAAAAATAATAATTTAAACACATTATGCCATTAAATGGTTCACTGAAGTGGTTACAGTAACCACAAAAAAGGAAACAATTGTAATGGTTGAAATCATGGGTTTGGTTATTCTGTGGCGTGCCTGTGCCTAGAGCTATGATGATGTCTAGTGAAAAAGTAGAAATTGATTTAGCATTTATGTTAAGGTAACTAAAATTATAAAAATACATGAGCAAGATCTGTAAAAGAAACAAGAGTTAGGAAAGAAACCCCTCTTCCTGTCTCTTTTCTCAAAGGAGGAAGTAAAAGTTGAGACACAGCAGGATTGAGGTCAGTGGTCTGGGGGTTAAAGATTAACCCCGCCCCCTTTAAGGCCTTAGATCTTAAGCGTGGGGGCTATATGGAGAAATGCCCTCTATTGTTCCCATTCCATCTTGCTCCAACTCCCATGCTTACTTCATCCATCACGACCCCCTCACATGTACTTTCTAAAACTGTAAACCCGTGCCGGGCGCGGTGGCTCACGCCTGTAATCCCAGCACTTTGGGAGGCCGAGGCAGGTGGATCACGAGGTCAACAGATCGAGACCATCCTGGTCAACATGGTGAAACCCCGTCTCTACTAAAAATACAAAAAATTAGCTGGGCATGGTGGCGCGTGCCTGTGATCCCAGCTACTCAGGAGGCTGAGGCAGGAGAATTGCCTGAACCCAGGAGGCGGAGGTTGCGGTGAGCCGAGATCGCGCCACTGCACTCCAGCCTGGGTAACAAGAGCGAAACTCCGTCTCAAAAAAAACAAATAAATAAAATAAACTGCCTTTGTCTAGTTACAATTATGGACTTGGATGCAAAAATCCAAAATAAATTATAAAATCTAAAGGGAAACAAAAAGAAAATTGATGGAAACCAAGCAGAGTTTATTCCAGGTATTGTTCAACATCAGAAAGTCAGTGTTGCCGGGCGCGGTGGCTCATGCCTGTAATCCCAGCACTTTGGGAGGCCGAGGCGGGTGGATCACGAGGTCAAGAGATCGAGACCATCCTGGTCAACATGGTGAAACCCCGTCTCTACTAAAATTACAAAAAATTAGCTGGGCATGGTGGTACATGCCTGTAATCCCAGCTACTCAGGATGCTGAGGCAGGAGAATTGCCTGAACCCAGGAGGTGGAGGTTGCGGTGAGCCGAGATAGCGCCATTGCACTCCAGCCTGGGTAACAAGAGTGAAACTCCACCTCAAAAAAGAAAAAAAAAGTCAGTGTTGTTCACCATATGGGCAAGCAGGGAAGAACTCTACCAACTCAGTGGGGCACTTCAATAGATGCAGAAAATATGATACAGTTGACCATCTATTGACAATTCTAAAAGCTCTTACAAAAGGGAGAGATGGGCCGGGTGTGGTGGCTCATGCCTGTAATCCAAGCACTTTGAAGGCCAAGGCGGGCAGATCACCTGAGGCTGGGAGTTCAAGACCAGCCTGACCAACATGGTGAAACCCCGTCTTAAAAAAAAAAGAAAGAAAGAAAGGGAGAGTGAGGCCGGGCATGGTGACTCACGCCTGTAATCCCAGCACTTTGGGAGGCCGAGGTGGGCAGATCACGAAAGTCAGGAGTTTGAGACCAGCCTGACCAACATGGTAAAACCCTGTCTCTACTAAAAATACAAAAAAAAAAAAAAAAAAATTAGCCAGGTGTGGTGGCGCCCACCTGTAATCCCAGCTACTCAGGAGGCTGAGGCAGAAGAATTGCTTGAACCCGGGAGGTGGAGGTTGTAGTGTGCCCAGATCAAACCACTGCACTCCAACCTGGGCGAAGAGTGAGACTCCGTTTCGGAAAAAAAAAAAAAAAAGGTAGGGGAGCGATAAAAGGACTCTCTAGCCTGATAAAGGCCAACGTAAACATTATAGCAAACTGGAAGTATTAGTAATGTATGCTGTTTTTCTCTCTTTCCTTTTTTTTAGAATCAGGTTCTTGCTGTCACCCTGCCTGGAGTGCAGTGGCACTATCAAAGCTCACTGCAGCCTCACACTTTAGGGCTCAAGCGATCCTACTGCCTCTCAGCCTTTTAAGAAGTAGAGGCCAGGCGCAGTGTCTCATGCCTGTAATCCCAGCACTTTGGGAGGCCAGGGCAGGCTGATCACAATGTCAGGAGCTCGAGACCAGCCTGGCAAACACAGTGAAACCCTCTCTCTACTAAAAATCCAAAAATCAGCTGAGCATGGTAGTAGGTGCCTATAATTCTAGCTAGTTTGGAGGCTGAGGCAGGAGAATTGCTTGAACCTGGGAGGTGGAGGCTGCAGTGAGTGGAGACCTTGCCATTGCACTCCAGCAGAGGGAGGCGCCATCTAAAAAAAAAAAAAAAAAAAAAAAAAAAGTAGTAGTAAGGGTCCAGGCACAGTGGCTCACGCCTGTAATCCCAGCACTTTGGGAGGCCAAGGTGCATGGATCGCCTGAGGTCAGGAGTTCAAGACCAGCCAGATCAACATAGTGAAACCCTGTCTCTACTAAAAATACAAAATTAGCTGAGTATGGTGGTGGCGTATGCTTGTAATCCCGGCTATTGGAGGCTGAGGCAGAAGAATCGCTTGAACCCAGGAGGCGGAGGTTGCAGTGAGCCAAGACTATCCCATTGCACTCCAGCCTGGACAACAGAGTGAAACTCTGTCTCAAAAAAAAAAAAAAAAATGTAGTAGGAAAGCTTGAAGAATCTGTATGACCAGTTGATTGTCTACCAACCTGGGTTTTGGTTTTTGTTTTGTTTTTTTAAAACACGGGGTTTCACCCTGTTAGTCAGGCAGGTCTTGAACTCCCGACCTCAGGTGATCCGCCCGCCTTGGCCTCCAAAGTGCTTGGATTACAGGCATGAGCCACTATGCCTGGCCTTGTTTGTTTTTTTTTTTTTTTTTTTTTCTTGGAGACAGAATCTCACTCCATCACCCAGGCTGGAGTGCAGTGGCATGATCTTGGCTCATTGCAATATCTGCCTCCCAGGTTCAACCGATTCTCCTGCCTCAGCCTCCCAAGTAGCTGAGACTACAGGCACCTGCTACCACACCTGGATAACTTTTGTATTTTTAGTAAAGACGGGGTTTCACCATGTTGGTCAGGCTGGTCTCGAACTCTTTACCTCAGGTGATCCACCTGCCTCGGCTTCCCAAAGTGCTGGGATTACAGGCGTGAGCCACTGCACCCAGCCACCTACCAACCTCTTAAAGCTGCTCACTCTCTCCCTTCTTGCTAATACAAGCTCCTTAGTTTATTTCTTTGCAAGAGTCTTGTTCTTCTGCGAAGCCGGGCCCATCCTCTCCTAGACCCAGGTGTAAAGCAGGACTGACCTAAACCAATCATGGATATCTTACTTCCCTTGTGGAATTCTGCTTCTGAAACACTAGGGAAACTTGGCTGGGGGCTTCTGGGAGGTTTTTTGTTTCTGCAGGAGACGACACTGGGAGCAACATTGTCTTTGTTGCCTACTGGGTTTGGAGAGGATGCCTCGAACTGCTCTAGTCACCTTATAACCATGAAGGACCTAAAAGAGCAAGTCAATATGCTGTATCTTGTGCGTCTCTTTAGGGAGCTGGGAGCTCCCACCTCTCATGGGCAAAATCTAGGACAAATGCTCATTCCTAAGGCAGCCAACAGCACATGGGAATAGAACCAAGAGCAAACTACAGGGCAAGGAGGATTTGAGATGGGCCCAGGACCACATGACAACTTGTGCTGAAAAAAGTGGCTCGTGATAAGAGGGGAAATAAAATTAGATGTTGCTGAGTGCAGTGGTACATGCCTGAAGTCCTAGATACTCAGGAGGTTAAAGCAGAAGGATCTCTTGAGGTCTGGAGTTCAAGTCCAGCCTGGGAAATATAGTGAGACCCCCATCTCTAAAATAATTTTTTAAAATTTTAAATTGACTAGGTGTGGTGGCTCACACCTATAATCCCAGCACTTTGGGAGGCCGAGGCAGGTGAATCATTTGAGGTCAGGAGTTCAAGACCAGCCTGGCCAACATGGCGAAACTCTGTCTCTACTAAAAAAGAAAAAAAATTAGCCAGGTATGGTGATGCACACCTGTAGTCCCAGCGACTCGAGTCTGAGGCACGAGAATCACTTGAACCCAGGAGGTGGAGGTTACAGTGAGCCAAGATCGTGCCACTGCATTTCAGCCTGGGCATCAGAGCAAGACTCTGTCTTAACAACAAAATGTCTTCATGCTGGGGGTTGCCCCATTAGACTCCTTTGCCCCCTCCCTCTGTGGTTTTTGTTCTTTCTCAAGGTGGCCCCAGGATTTCCCACATATTCCGTATTTTTTTTTAATTATTTATTTTGAGACAGAGTCTTGCTCTATTGCCCAGACTGGAGTTCAATGGTATGATCTCGGCTCACTGCAACCTCTGGCTCCCAGGTTCAAG